ACAGAAACATCCCCCATGTCCATAAACCCGCTGCACGTTTCGGGTCACCCTCCTTATTTCACTATTCAGGAGTCCTTTGGCTGCTCCCCAACTGGGTTCAACCCACAGGGCATGCTGGTGCCCCCCGCTCCGCACCCCAGCCCTAGTCCCCACGTCTCCTCTGCTAGAGTCTCCATTCATCCCTTGAGTGGCTCTCTGTTCCAGTCATCCAGGGTTCGTCCTCTGAGTCGCCTAAGCTCCATCTCCCTTGCCCCAGGAGTCCTGGGCTCGTCAGCCCAGCCTAGTCGGGCCCCTCACCTCCGTGGCTCTTCGCTGCTGCTGCCTGCCCAGCTAGTATTCCCCGGAGCCGCGCTGCAGGGCTCCCGGGGCGGTGGCTCCCATCAGCTACGGGGAGCAGGGCTGTCGCTCCCTGCTCTCCCTGCGCTCCCTGCCACGCTCTGGCTCCGGCCCCGGCTCCGGCTCCGGCTCCGGCTCCGCAACAGTCCGTTACAGTCAGGGGCGCAGCTCCTGCGAGGGGTGGCCAGTGCAGGGGGCCAGGACCGCCCCGCTCCGCGCCAGCCCTCTGGGTCCCCCCGCTTAGGCTCTAAGGACGCTTGGCCCCGGTCACTGGGTCACTGCCCGTTACGGTCCGCCCCCAAGCTGTGGAGCCAACAGCTGCCAGTGGGGAAGACCTAGCAAGAGGCTTGGGGGGGGGGGGAATCCCAGTATGGACCCCTCCTCTCTCCTTCCAGCCCCGCCCCGCCCTGCCCTCTTCTCTATTCTCTCATCTCCCCCTCCTCTCCACCTCTTCCCTCCACTTTTCATCCCTTATCCCTCCCTTAAGCCCTTCCCCTCTGGGAATTCCTGGCCATGCCACTAAATAGCTCTGCGACCTGGGGCAAAGTCACTTTTCTCCTCTCTAGGTTTCAATTTTCTCCCCCTGTAAAATGAGGGGGTTGGTTGGGCAAGATGATCTCCAAAGTCGCTTTCTGCTCTGATATTCGGTAGCTCTGGAGCGGGATCTGGTTTTGAATTTAGGCTTAGCCTGGGTTTCAGTGGTGTGAGGGTTAATGAAAAGGGGTGGGGTTCGGCAGGTGGCCCTAAGGGTTAGGGTAACAAGCAGAGTCCTCTGCCCGGGCGTAGTGCAGCCCCATTGGTCAGATACTGGTGGCGGAGGGGGATCCTGCCCCGTTCAATGGGTCTCTGCTGGCCCTAAGACCCTAGTGGTACCCCTTTATTGTAGGAGCTGCATCCTTAGTCAAGGCCACCCCATTATTTCCTTCTCCAAGTAAAGGCTTCCCATCCGATATCACCCCCTGCTTTCTAAGGCAACCAGGAGCTAATATGATCTCCAGGACACCAACTTAAAATTCAGCAAACATTTATTAGTTGCCCATTGTGTAGCCTGAGTTAGGCTTAGGGAGATAGGCTTAGATAAGATCCAGTTAGGTTGCAGCCTTTCCCAACAAATCTTTCCAGAGCATTTATTACAGGGCCCCGAGGGGAACACAGTTGGGTAAGACAAACTCCCTGTCCCCTGAAAGGAACTATTTAGACCAAGAGTGGGAAGTTGGTTGAGGGGAGAGTGATGAAAGATACAGGAATCAGCATTCTACAATGTCAGAGCTGGAAGGTTTCTGAGAGATCATTTAATCTAACCCATTTACCCTTACAGATGAGGAAACTGAGGTCGAGAAAGGGAGATTGATTCACCTAAGGCAAATGAGTAGCTACAAGTGTAGAGATGCCTAGAAACCAAGGAACCAACCCAACTCCGAAAAGTGATTAGTCAGTGGCTGTGGTTCTTAAACTTTTTGGTCTCAGGACCACTTTCCACTCTTAAGAATTACTAAGGACTGGGGCAACTAGGTGGTGCAGTAGATAGAGCTCAAGCCATGGAGTCAGGAGGACCTGAGTTCAAGTTCAGCCTCAGACACTTAACACTAGCTGTGTGACCCTGGGGAAGTCACTTAACCCCAATTGCCTCACCAAAAAAAAAAAAATTACAAAGGATCCTTTAAAGAGTTTTTGTTTATGTGGGTTATCTGTACCAATATTTACCATGTTAGGAATTAAGATGTTTTAGTATTATTATGAAAATACTTTTCACCTTGTGGATCCTCTGAAAGGGTCTCAGCACCACTCTTTGATAACCACTAGTATAAGGTTATGCTTTAGGGATTGCTAAGTCTGTATTGATGGGAAGCCCCATGGTTTACCCCATGAGTTTTCCTCATTATAATAACCATATGGGAGAATTGTAGTACTTTCATTTCTGCAAAGCACTTTACATACCTTATCTCATTTGTTCCTTGAAAGAAGTTTGTGAGGTAAATACTATAGTTATCATTACAGATGAGGAAATGGGTTCAGTGAGGCAGGTGACTTAGTCAGTCAACAACATGCATTTATAAAGAAACTACTAGTACCAGGCACTGTGCTAAGCACTGGGAATACAAAGAAAGGCAAAAAAGACAGTTTCAGCTCTCAAGGAACTCACAGAATAAAGAGGAAAACATCATGTACATATTTGTTGTTCAGTCGTGTCTGACTCTTCGTGACCCCATTTGGGGTTTTCTTGGCAAAGATACTGGAGTGGTTTGCCCTTTCCTTCTCCAGCCCATTCCACATATAAGGAAACTGAAGCCAAGAGGGTTAAGTGATTTGCCCAGGGTCACACAGCTAGTATCTGAGGCCACATTTGAACTTAGGTCTTCCTGACTCCAGGCCCGGAGCTCTATCTAGTGGGCCAACTAGCTGCTACATGCATACATAGTTTGCACAACTACGTTCAAACAAGATATGGACAAGATAAATAGGAGAAAATTAACAGAGGGAAAGTGGTAGCATTAAGGGGGATCCAAAAAGGCTTCCTGTAGGAGGTGGGACCTGAAACTTGGAAGAAGCCATGAGGCAGAGATAAGGAAGGAGAAACTTGCTGGGTTCACATAGCTAGGAAGTGTTATAGATAGATTTAAAGCCAGGTCTTTCCTGATTCCAAGATCATTGCTATTTCAACTGCATCATGCTCCCCCATTCACTTCTCCACGCCTTCCCTCTCTCTTTCCCACCTGCTCCTTTGTAGAAGCTACTAATTTGAATGTTGAACAAAGGGTCTGACCTCCTGGACTCTACCCTGGGCTTAACTGCTTCCTGCCTCAGTTTCCTCATCTTTAAAAATGAGGATAACAATAGCATCTACCTCCCAGAGATATTGTGAATATAAAATAATATTTATAAACTGTTTTGCAAACCATAAAATGATATATAAATGCTAGATATTATTATCTCTAGTCTCTGTCCTTGAGCAGGGAAAGTGGGCAGATGGCTCAGGCTTTGGCTATGAAGACAGCTGCCCTGAGACCCCACTCTGCCTCTTGATCCTTTCTCCTGCACTCTGACCTCAGGTCAAAGGCCAGGCAGCTGTTGTTCAGGTCTCCACATGGGCAGGAGGTTGAGATGCTGAGGGGTCAGCGCAGTCTGTTTCTGTCCCATCCCCATGCCTCACTCCAGTTCTAACCAGACCCTGGGTATCACTGATTAGGCCCCTGGGGTGCTATTAGGGGTCCAGTGGTGGGGGAGGGGGAAAGACAGTACAGAAGAGAGGGACTCTGAGAAAGTAATGGGGCATTTGGGGAATCTTAGGGGAGGTCAGCACCAGCGGGGAGGACCTGAGGAGAATGTAGGGCCAATAGGTGGGGACCTTTGGAAGATTTGTGGGGCCTGTAGTGGGGCCCTATCAGCTCTTCCTGTAATTGTAACAATCCAATTGATATTTCCTCTCAAGTTCCCTTATGGCTAACAGGTACTTCCAGTTCACCTCCTGCTATGCCATTCTATTAATCCAATTCATCCAGGCCCACTACCCTGAATGCTGCCTCTACCAGTAACTTCATCCCTGTTCATCCCAGCTCTACTCTCACTCAGTCCTTATTCTCCCCACTTCCACTGGGCCCTTTGGAAATCCATTTTGTCCTGAACAAATTACACTTCATCCCAAACTTTCTTCTCCACTCATTCGGTCCCTTCATATGAACTGAAACCAGGCTTTCTCCTGAAGAGTCCATATCTCTAGCTGCCTAGCTGCCTTCTCTATGGTGGATTCTTTTCTTCTCCCCATCTCCCCAGCCCTGGAGGTAGAGGTGATGTTCCCCCGGCTCCCCACTGCCACTTCTGGATCCCTGCTCTGCCACCATCACTCAACAAATTCTTCTTTGGAGTTTATGCCATCCAAGTATGCTCCCTAATCATCTTTGCTATTTTGTATTGACCTCCTAGGTCACTCAGCCCACCTTTCTTCATGAATTGACTCAGTCTTCCTTTTTCCCTGTCATTATCCTCAGAGATTTTAATGTCCATGTTGATGACCTTTCCAACAACATCTTCACGCTTCCTTAAATTCACTCCTAGGACCCCCATCTTGATTCTCTTTTAGGCATGTAAAATGTAAAGGCAATAGATTGGGAGTCAGAGATTCTCAGTTTAAGTCTCAAGTTTATTATTTATTAACAAATATTTATTCATTTGTTATTACCTATATGACCTTGGGTAGATCACTTCCATCTTTTCCCCTCCCCTGACCTCAGGTTTCTCATGTTTAAAATGAGTCAGAGCTGGATTAGATAGCCTCCAAGGTTCTTTCCAGCTCTAAATCTATGTCCCAGTGGTCTCCCAGTGTAGTCACATCCTCACCATCATGTGAAATGGTTACACCTCCATAATCCTGAATTCTAAAATTCCCCTTTGACCACAATCTCTTATCCTTCCCCACCATGGCTCACCCTCACTTCCTTACAATTTTCCTCTCATCCTTTTCTTTGCCCTAATCCTGACTTTCTACCCCTCAGGTTTTTCTTATTCTCCTAATCTATAAACTCTGTTCTGTCCACTGTTCCTTCTCTGCTGAGTTTTGACTCTAGGATGAGCCATTTCAATAATGCCCTCTCCTCCACCCTTGATTCCTTTGCCATTGACCTTCCACCATTCTTGCCCAGCTAACCCCAACCATGAGTGACTCCTACCATATACTGCCTCCTTTCCTACTTCCAATGACCTTACTCCATCAGGCATCCTGTCCATCTCAAGGATCTTCAGTCCTTCTTGACTCACTCCTTCCCTGCTATCCACAGAATTTCTCAGGCCTCTTCTATCCTAAAACAAAACAAAGCAAAATAAAACCAAACAAAAGCAACAAAAAATTTCTTTTCATTCCACTGCTACTTCAAGCCATTGAATTACAGCCCTCCTGCCTTAACTACTAAAATTCTAAAATGAGTTTACTCTCACTGCTTCCACTTCCTTACCTTTCCACTCATTTTTCAAAACCTCATAATCTAGTCTCTATTGCAACTCTTCTCTTCACTGACTTAATCACCAAATCCAATGGCTTTACCTTCTGTCCCCATCCTTCTTGAATGGCAGCTTGTGCCATTGTTAACTACTCCTTTGATATATTCTTTTATACTGTTGCTTCCTGTGGTGCCTATCTCTTTGGCCACTTCTTCTATAGCTCCTTTATTGCCTACTCATCTTCCCCCTTCTCCTTAATGGTGGTTATCCCAACATTTTCTCTTAGGTCCTCTCACTGTTTATATCATCTCTTGGCAATCTTATCTATTCCCAGGATTTCAATGATCTCCTCCATGCTGACATCTCCCAAATCCACATCTTTGAGCCCAAATCTCTCTTTAGTTGAGTCACCCATCACTGATCCCCTGCAATACATCTAGCTTCATCTAGATGTTCAACTGGCACTTAAAAGTCATGCCCAAGACTGGGGTCACCCTTTCTCCCCAACCCAGCTTTTCCTCTCAAACTCTTGTTTCTGTTTATAGCATCCCATCCTCTCATTCACTATTCAAATCCTTGGAGTTGGTCATCTTTGACTCCTTCCTCTCCCTCACCCTCCACCTGCCAGGAGTCCTATCAATTATTGATATATTTTTTAAGGCAATTGGGGTTAAGTGACCTGCCCAGGGTCATACAGCTAGTAAGTGTCAAGTGTTTGGTCTGTGGTCAGATTTGAACTCAGGTCCTCCTGACTTCAGGACCGGTACTCTATCTACTGCACCACCTAGCTGCCCCCATCACCTCTTTTTTTAAGAATCACTTTTTTACTTTATTTTTTCTTTTCCCAGACTTTCCTAATAGCCTCTTAATTGCACAAGCAATCTTGTTAATATTACTCCTCTGTTCATGGCATGCCTCTTCTAAAATTTGACTCCACTAGGCCTTATCTTAAGGTATGGGCTCCCCTTCAAAAGATGATTAGCATTTAGAAAGACAGGTAGTGATGGCTGAAAGCCCATAAGGCTTTATCAAGGACAACTTATGCCAGATGACTTTCATTTTCTCTTTGACCAGGATTACTAGACTGGCAAATCAAGGGAATGCTAGAGATAGAGTTTACCACAGAACTTTTAATATAATCTCTCTTGGTTAGAAAGACATGTAAGTTCCTGAGAGTGTGAATTATTTCATTTTTTGTATTTGTAGCCCCAGTCAGCCAGCCAGTCTGTGTAATTCAATAACACCTATAGTACCTAACACAGTGAATGAATGAATGAAGCATTAATAAGTACTTACTATGTGCAAAGCACTATGCTAAGTGCTGGGGATACAAATGAATAAATTAAAACAATCCCTTTCTCCTCAAGGAGCTCCCATTCTAATAGGGGAGACAACACATATGGAAATGTATCTGTCACATAGTAGGGTGCTTAATGAAATGCTTGTTGATTGGTTGATGCTATTCTTGTGGACAATAACAATGTCAATAATGATGCTAGCTAGCTAGCATTCATATGTGCCAAGCACTGTGTTAAGTGCTTTTATAAATGTTACCACATTTGATCCTCACAATAACTCTGAGGAGTAGGCATTATTATTAGCTTCACTTTACAGATAAGAAAAGAGACAAACAGAAGTTAAGTGACTTAACCAGGGTCACAGAGCTCGTAAGTGTCTGAGGTCGGATTCGAATTCAGGTCTTCCTGATCTGAAGGTCATGAAGAATGGGACAGAACTTAAAGGACAGAAGGACAACAGCTTCCTGACTCCAGGCCTAGCACTCTCCACTGCACCACCTAGTTGCCAATATGGAGAGATATGGGTTAAATGTCTAACTGTAGTTAGACATAGAACTTGTAGAATGACTGGACCCAAAGATTATTTATAAATCAATTGATGTCAGCTTGGAGGAAAGTCTCCATTGTTGTGCCCCAAGGATCTGTCCTTGGACTTGTTCTGTTCAACATTTTCATCAATGGTTTGGACAAAGGCACAGAGAATAGGTATGCTTATCAAATCTGAGGATGACAAAAGCTAGGAGGGACAGCCAATATACACTGGATGACAAAATCAGGATTCCAAAAGATCTTGAAAGGTTAGAAAAGAAATGAACCTACTTTAGTAAGATGAAATTTAATGAAGTAAGTGTAAAGTGTTATGCTTGGGTTTCAAAAATAAACTTTGTAAGTATAAGATGGGAGAAGCTTACAACAATTTATCTGAAAAAGATCTGAAGCTTGTTAGTGGAGCTGTGAATTGGCATGATCATTTTGGAAATTTGGAATTATGCAAATAAAGCGACTAGAATGTCTATACCCCTTTTCCCAGCACCGAGCTTATACCCCAAGGAAGTCATTGATAAAAAGAAAGTCACATATACCAAAATATTTATAGTAGCATTTTTTGTGATAGTAAAGAAATTTTGAAAAAGAAGTAGATGTGCATCAATTAGGGAGTGGCTAAACAAATTTTGGTACATGAATTTAATGGAAGATGACTGTGCTGTAAGAAATGACAAATATGATGAAGCAGGGAAAGATCTAAATGAACTGATGCAGAGTGAAGTAAGTGGAGCCAAAAAAACATATACAATGACTACAACATTGTAAGTGCAAAGGACTAGGACCACAAAACAATCGAAAATGAACATTGCAAAATTATAAAGAACAAGCGTAGCTTCAAAGAAGAGACAGGAGGAGCGACCTTTCCCCATTCCTTCCTAACCCTAAACCTAATCCCCTCCCCCCTCCCTACCATGGGCTTTCAGATTTTTTCAATCCATGAATCTGTTATGCTAATCCTTTTCTTCCTTTTCTTTTACAAATTCTTTGTCATATGAGATGGCTCAGTGGGAGGGGGGAAAGGAGGAGGATAAAGGAGAAAATTTAGTCAATGTAAAATCCAAAGATTATTTCAAAAAAGAAAAAAAAACCTATAGGCTTTAGTGGACTGCAAGCTGAATGAGCTAACTTGGCAGTCAAAAAGACCAGTACTATCCTATGCTGCACTTAGGCAGGAATAATGCAGGCGTAACGTCAGAACACAGGAGGGCATAAGATAGTTCTGTTGGACTTTGCCCTGCTTAGATCACATTGGGAGCTTTGTGTCCGGTTTTGGGTTAGCCACTGATAAACTTGAGTGTTTCCAGAGGATCCTGGAGTGCTCTGGAGAAGAGTAGACTTAAGAAGGAAGGACGTGATAGCTGTCAGACTTAATCTGCTTGGCCACAGAGGGTAGAACTAGGAGCAGCACCTGGAGGTTTCAGATACAGGTTTCAGTTAGCTACAAGGAAGAAGCGCACGGGGCCTTGGAGTCAGGAAGACCTGAGTTCAAATCTAGCCTTATCAACCTTAACCCTGGGCAAGTTGTTTGACTTCCGTCTGCTTCAGTTTCCTCATCTGTAAAATGAGGATAACAACACCTACTTCCCAGGGTTGCTGTAAAGATCAGATGAGATATTTGTAAAGCACTCAGCAGAGTGCCTGGCACACAGTAGGCGCTTGATAAATGCCCATTTCTTCCCTTCCTTGACAGTTGAATTAGAATAGGGATTGGAACCCGGTGATTGGACTGGGTGAGGAAACTTCCTCGTCAATGCATACTGGAACCTTTTCTGTAGAGCACTGAGTGGTTAACCACTTGCTCAAGCAGCATATATCTCAATGGGGATTTGAACCCAGGTGTTTCTGACTCGGCTGGCAGGTCCACTAAGCCACGTGACCTCTCCTCTCATCAAAAATGGATGAAGCCGCTTTGGGAGGCAGTCTGCTCCTGCTCATCAAAGCTCTTCAGTCACAATGATGTTTTGGAGGATGATGTTTTGGCCATTCAGATTTGGATCAGAATGGGTGACCTCTGAGGTCCTGGCCAGCTCAGAGATCCTATGCTGTGTTCTAGCCAAACTAGTTTTTGAGCTGTGGTCACCCTGCCCTCTCCTCTCTCTGCCCTTGCTGGGGCTATCCTCCGTGCCTACAATGAACTCTCCCTAAGCATTTCCATCTGTTGAAGTCTCTTACTTTATTTAAGGCCAAATTCAGATGCCATCTTTTCCAGGAAGCCTTCTCAGATCTCTTCTTTGGTGAAAGTGATCTATCCCTTCCCATGGTTCTCTTAGAACCTTTCTTTGCCTGGATGCCACCTTTGCCCTTGTCCACTTTTCATCTTGTATAAATTATCTGTGTAATTCTCCTCCCTAGTTCCCTCCCTGCGCTATCCTTTCCCTCCCATTAGATTGTAGGCTCCTTGAGAACAAGGTTTGTGTTATATATAAAAATAAACACACATATGTATGCATCTGTATGGATGTAAGTATGCATTTTCACTGACTACTTACTACATGGTCATGTTCAAAATAGATATGCAGTTAAATGTTTGTTGAAATCAAAAGAGGCCTAGAAGGGGAAGGGGTGGACACTGAGGGAAGGTCTATGAGGCATGGGGAGAGGGGAGCTGAGGGAGCTGGGGCTCTGGTTTCCCAGGGGCTTCCAGAAAGGAGTTTCATGAAAATGACCTTAGTCTGGCCCCTCCTAGGAGTTTCTCACTGGTTGAGTGAGTCTTCACCCCTTCTTCCATTCCAAGCTTTGCTTTTGGAGCAAGCCTGGCTGCTGAAGAACTCAGAGCCTCCTCTGGCCTTGGACAGTGGCCTGAGACACCTTCAGTTTGGACTCTGGGGTAGTCTTAGTCCCCTAGCCCGACCCTCTCCCAAGTGCCACAGGCTGAGGCCTTCCCTGGAACCCAGGGAGGGAGGGAGGTAGAGGAGGAGAAGGGAGGGGAAAGCTGGGCAGGCTGGAGTCTTTCCCCAGATTTATAACCGGAGCCAGAGTCAAACAAAAACCCCTTCATATGTCTGGCTCCCACTGTAGCCGCTGCCGCCTCCCTGTCTCCTCAATAGCAGAAGGTTCCCCCAGGTTAGCAGGCGCCCACCAGGCTTCCCCTCCCCTCGGGTCCGCTCCTTTGGTATTCCCTTCCTCCCTCTCCCTAGGACTCCATCTCTCCCCTCCCTTTGGCAGCAGGGCCCCAAAACTGTAAGAGGGGCACTTTACAGCTCTTCCAGAGCCTGGAGGCCCCGTCCCTTCTCCCCTGAGGGTCTTCGTTCTCTTCTTGTTCCCTTCTGACAGGGAGAGAAGAGGCTCTCACATGAATGGAGGTAACTAGCTGGGAGGAAAGTCAGGGTTCTAGTCTTGGCCTTATACCTAATGATCCTTAGAAAAGTCACCAGGAGAGTTTTATCTCAGTTTTTCCCTTTGTGGACAGGAATTCTTATCTTTATCCCCCTAAAAGAGGAAGGGATCAGGTCCTGATCATGAACTCCTTCTTTGCCTTTGATTGTGGGTGAGGGGTTCTCTACAAGGAGAAGTTCAAAGCAGAATCAGCGTCTAGGTCTGGCCTTGATACCAACAATATTGCTTTGGATGGCAGTTGGCTTCGATGACCAGCCTGGGGAACACTACTGACTTTGTTATTTCAGAGCAGGAAGTTGCTTGCTTGCCCAGCCCCAGTCCCAGGCCCTGAGACTTGGGCCAAGCCCTGGTGAGTTTTGAGGCCTGGGCCAGGGATACCAGTTTCCTGCCCTGCTTGACAAGCTTCTGCCTTTAGTGGATCACAGCATGGCACCAGGCCCTACCTCCCCTTCTGTCAGCCCCTGGGGGAGTCATCTAGAGATCCCCAAAGACAGTCATCCCACCACTTCTCTTTCCTCTTTGCTACTGGGGGGTGGGCGAGGGTGGGGTAGGTTTGGAAAGAATCTCTGAGCTCTCTGCCTCCTTGGAACCTTAAAAAAAAAAAGGGAGTCCCTGCAAGGCTATGCCTTCTCCAACACTGGATACCAGAGCTAGTTCTCTCCATTCATACCCTTAACATTAGGAAGTTTCTGTACCCACCTCCAAAGACTATCCTCTGACTCCTCTTTTTCTAGAACATCTGCACCCAATTTCTAAAATGGAGATGGTAAAGCCACAAAGGACAGGAAGGACTGTGGAAGCCATTTTTCCTCAAACCACTAAAGCTAGTGTGGAGACAAGGAAGCTGAGGTAGGACCTGGCCAAGTTCTCGGAGGGGCAGTCCAAGGCTGGGAAGGGAGGGGACCAAGAACTTCCAGGGGGTGCAGGCGTCTCTCAGAACAGATTCTAAAGTCACACACTTTTATGTAAAGATGCAAAGCATTGTACAGTGGAAAAGAATGGATTTTGAGTCAGAAGATATAGGTTCACACTCTCTAACACTCATTACCTATGTGATCTTGGGCAAGCCATCTCTCTGAGTTTCAGTTTCCTTAACAATGAGGGTGCTGGGCTAGGTGACTTATAAGGTCCCATCTCTCACTGCTCTAACTTGATAATCTTATGAACTTATGTATAGTGAACAAGACTCCTGTAGGAGGGAGTTCTTTGTCAGACTGTGGGTCCTGATTTTTGGTTTGGAAAATATAGCCACTCTACCTGAAGGCTCTTGGGAGGAGAAATAACCCATTCTCAGAAATTCAGGGTTTCAGGTGGAAGGATCCCTAGGACACAGGAGGTTAGAATCAGAAAACATCTTGGCATATGGAACATATCCTTTCTGTAGGAAGAAAACTTAGAGACCACTAGTCAATTGCTGATTCTGAGGTGATTCGGAGAATTTTAGAGATGCAAAGGTACCCCCTTTTCAGTTTTCCAAATGAATAAACTGGAGGCTAGATCAATAAAATGACCTGTCACATAGCATAGGTACTTAGGGGTCAGAGTGGGGATTCAGACTTTGTGATTCTGACTCTTTCCATTATACCATGCCACCTCCTCCATCAGAGAAAAGACACCTTCCACTGCAAGAGGCTGGAGTCTTGAAATGGTTGTCATTAAAGGGGGTAGACTAGGTGATCTCTAAGGTTTCTTCTGCTTCCAAGTTTATAATTCTGTGACATGAGAAAGTTTGGAGAACAGCCTTAGACAATTGTTGCTTTCTGGGGGGTGGGAGTGGTGGTGGAAGGGTATAGGAACTTTGGGGGGGGGGGCTGGGAAGATTTTGGTTCCTTCATAGTTGCATCCTGGGCCTGCTGCTTCTTCCTCCTGAGCTTGAATCTGATGTCTCCAGCTGAAGTTACCCTGATAATTCTCTGCCCCTGACCCAGTCAGGAAAGAGTGAAGGGGAGAAGAGGGGTAGTTAGCTGAAGCTAATACTGGAGGAAGAGAAGGCCTGGAACTAGGAAGTGGAGAAACCTAGGGCTGAGATACTGTTTCTCACCTCTCCTGTTGCTGGCGATGCCGGTGGCTGATTGCAACCCTGAGAGATGAGCCTTCACTCTGGCTTGGCTTCAGGATTTCTGTGTGGAATCCTGGTCCATCTGAAGCAGAAGGGGACTTATCAATCTACCCTAACCCCCTTGCTGAACAGTGTGTACCTACATAGGCAAAGGTAATGTGGTGGAAAGAGCACTAGATTTGGAGTCAGAAGACTTCAATTCTGTCTCTTATTAGTTGTGTGACTTTGGGCAAGTACTTTACTTGGGCCTCAGTTTGCTTATTCCCTCCAACTTTAAATTCTATAAACTTATGATCATAGGGCCCTGCTTGAGTTGGGCAGGACGTGTGCAAAGAACAGCCCAGTGTTCTACACTCCCAGCTCCAATCCCAGTGGTTTGGCCTCTTCTCTGCCCACTTTGTCTCTGGCGTGGGTTTAAGCCAGTGGCTCTCAAAGTGTGGTCTGGGATTTTTGAGGGTCCTGAGACACTTTCAGGGGGTTGGTTAGGTCAAAAATATCTTCATAATAATATTAAGATGTTATTTGCCTATTAAAATACTCCTCCCTTTTCCAACTACATTTCTTTGTGAGGCTGTATTTTCTTCACATATTTCAACCAAAACAACACATCGCAACAGATTGAATGCAGAAGCAGATATGAGAATCCAACTATATTCTATTAAAACAGACATTAAACAGATTTGCCAAAAAAAAAAAAAAATGCCACTCTTCTAATATATTTTGCTTTGGAAAATAGTTACTTTTCACAATACATTAACAAGTACTTTAAAAAATTATCAGTTTTGATTTCTAACATGGTAAATATACACATAACCCACATAAACAAACTCTTTGGGGCTCTCAATAATTTCTAAGAGTGCAAAGGGGTCCTCAAACCAAAGAGTTTGAGAATCTTGGTTTAGATTACTGGTAAGACACCTGAACCACCTCACTCTCCCGACCTCCAGGTTATAAGGCTTGAAATAGGGAAGGGGTAGGAATGGGAGTGGGAGCTGGGGAGGTAAGGAGGGAGGGATTCCCAGAAGTGGCACTAGACCAGGAGTCTGGAGACTAGCTCTTCCACTCACTATGAGACCTGGGGCAAATCCCCTTCCCTTCTCTGGGCCTCAATTCCTCATTTAAAAAATAAAAGGGTTGTACAAATGGATGCTTTCTTGAGGATTTTCCAGCCTAGGGGTGGTGGGGGGAAATTTCTCTATGATTATTGGGCCACTAGTGCCCTCTGGTGGTCACTAGGAGACCTGACTGATCTAGGATATTACAACCCCTTCACAATGTAAAGGACCATCTTTTCAAAGGAACTGGTGGTCAATTCATCACCTTGCAACTAACCTGGTGATGAGCTTCTATGAATGTAGCCAGGTTGGTGTGCAGGCTGGTGTGCAAACACCCAGCCCATCCTCAGGTGTGCAATCAAAGCCTCAGCAGCCTGCATGCTGGCATTACCTTCCTGAACTCAGCATCCCTTTCATGCTGAGGTAGGTAGTGAAGAACTTGGTTGGAGGCTCCTCCACATAATGTCAATAACCCACAGTTCTATAGCATCTTAACATTTACAGAGCTGTCGACAGATTGACCTAAGGCTCCACTCACGTTCCCTCTGACTTCTTGGATCAAAACAAAGCTTTTCCTAGCACCACTTGTCTCTATGTGTTCTCTCCTCTTTCAGACAATTTGAAAGACCAGTACTTTTAATCACCTTGAACTTCTCCCTGAAACAAAAGCCCATCTTTCAATGGTCTTGCAGTAGCGCTACATGGATTATCAGTCTCCATGGAATTAAAAGTTGTAGGTGGACAATGTCACGATGTGTTTTCTCCAGAGCACTTAAGACTCTTGCAGACTTGTAGTCAGTTCAGTATATCTCAATGAGTCAGAAAGCATGTCAGAAGAAGAGAAAATTGAAAGAATCACTGTTGGAAGTTGTAGAGATGGCAGCAGAGGAGGAGGGGGTTACCTTAGATATAGAGACCCTCCAACACACTGCACAAGTACAGGAGATGACCCTAGCAGCCCAGATAGAAGCAGGGCATACAGGGGAGACTCTGGAATCCGCATTAAAAAAGTTAGCGGCACAGATGAGGGAGGATGATCTGGTAGCATCCTTAAAGAGATCAAAGAGAACATGGACAGAGCCATTAATCTTAATCTAACATAAAGATCAGGGCCAACAAATCTATGAACCCAATAAGCCATGTAAATTCTGGCTAAGATCCACCATGGCTGGCTCCTTCCTTCCTCTGACAGGGTCAGGTGGTGGCAGAGGGCAAATATCCCAGAAAAAGAACAATACTTTTTGCTCCCAGGTTTTATGCTAATGGCCCACCCAGGCTGAGAATCTAGGCAATAAGAAGTGTCACAATAATGTAGAAAGGAGTGGCAGGTTGTGGACTCCCCCACTGTGGCCTGTGGGAGAGGAAAAGCTTATCATAGATAATAGAGGTAGATTCCAAATTTGGTTCAAAAAATATCCTAGGTCCAATCACTAGCCAGAAATTCATTAGGTTTACAAGCTTTGGCTTTATAACATAAATTATCCTCCACCCCAACTACCCATTAGCCAACTGGATCAGCCATTCACATCTTAATTTGAATGAAGCTGAACAGTTTATCTTGTTAAGACCTCTCAAAGATCAGAAGAAAGTTTTGCTCCTTGGACACTCCTGGATGGGGGTTTGGGCACCCAAGTGCCTGGATTCGGAGTCAGAAGACTGGTTCAAACCCCAACTCCGACGCTTTTTAGCTATGTGATCTTGGGTCTATCAATCTCTCTGAACCTCAATTTTCTCATTTATAAAATCACCTTGCATCACCTACTTCAAGATTCCTACTGTCATGAAAACTTCCAAAGCATTATGTTATTGTGAGAGGAAGGTAGGTACCAATGACAAGTTGCCTAGACTCAGGAACCATAGACACAATGGCATACTGCTGATAATCAGTAGAAGCTCTGGCACAGAACACACACTCCTGGCAGTCACAGGAGTCATTCTTTATTGGGAGGTCTCTCTCATGGGGCACAGAGTAGATACATCTACACACAAAAGGCATTTCTTCACAAAGAAAGGGAAGTTGTTGGGGTTTCAGAGGGAAGCAGAAAAGGTTTTGTAAATATATAGCAGGCTTCCTCTGTTTTACAGCATGGGGAGAGAAAAATCTTAAGAGAATTAAAAAAGGGAACCCAATCCTCTTCAAACTACCTTCCTGTGGGACATCCTCGAAAGCTTGCTATGTCAGAATAGAAAGAAACACCTTCTCTACTGCAGGGTCTGTACCTTGTGTGGGGCAGCTCCTTGCTACAAGTAGTCTTCAGGACTAGAGGGTTTGGTTAGGCAGGAGAATCACTTATGCAGTGTTGATTCGAGGACAAAGGGAAGAAGAGAACTTGAAGACTCAAAAAATGAAGCCGTGAAGACAATAGGGGACTCAAGGAGAAGGTTAGGAAGACAAAGAAAAGGAAATTGGGTGTGTCTATAGTACAACACAGGTGAGAAAGAAAACTCTGGATTCCAAGACTTCCCTAGGCTACAGGAATTCTCCAGAGGAGTGGACCACAACTAGTAGGAAAAAGGCCCAAGAAACTTATGTTTCTGGGCAAACGTGAAGAACGTGGAAAATTTGTTAGTGATTTGCACATACTACATACATGACATTTATCTTTCTGTCACGGCCAAGGGACAATTATCTATGTACAAAGTGTGGGCAGGTCTCCTTTTTAGAAGACAAATTAAAGTGCCTTGAGGAATGTTTCTTCAATCCCTGTTATCAGGAAGAATGCAGTCTTCCTTTAAAAACTGAAAGAGCTTTCAAGTACAAAGAAAAAGGATCTGTTAAGACAGAGAAGACTTGTGACTGGAGGATGGAAGGTGATAAAAGATGGATGGTGATAAAAGAGAAAATGGATGGGTCACTGAGCAACTGGAGCTAAAGAGCAGATATGACACTCTTCTTGAAGAGGAGGGAGCAGCTAGTAGCTATTTGTCCTCAAAGGAATTGGTGATACAGACCCATAGATGCTGTCAGGTCAGAAAAACTGTAAAGAGTCAAAGGAAAAAGAAACAATTATTCAGAAAATGCTACAGAACACCCAGAACACCCAGAGAGGAAAGAGTTAACTTCTGCAAACAGACCACAAGCCTGGAGCTATGGAATGAAGACATGGTAGTCATCATACGGACTCCTGCAGGAGTTCATGCTCTGTGAAAAGCAGAGTGGCAGCTAATTATTTCTTAGCTTGCAGTAACGATAATTTCATCCATAAAAGGAAGATGAGAAACTATTATTCTGGATCAGACTTTTACCAAAAAGTAACTGGGTCCTAAAGAAGAGATGAGAGGAATCAAGGTGCAAGTGATCACTTCATCTTAAATTTTGAAAAAGGAGTGGAAAACTGAGTACAGTCTGACATGCATGCAAGGTTACTGGAGAAAAGACTTTAAAAGATTCAGAAAAAGGATAGGCAGGATCCTATGCACCAAAATCTGACAGAAGTCATACTAGGAGGAAAAGGAAGTTTTTAAGAATGAAATTCTGGAGACACAAAAATAATTTCAATGAAGAGACAAGAGAAATGTGTAAGCAAATGAAACTTGAGCAACTTAGATTTTTAAAAAGATGTGTATAGAAGATGGAAGCAAAGGCAGGTAATGGAAGATGAATACAAAGCATGGCATGGGCCTGTAAGAACAGTGTCAAGAAGGTCCAAGCTCAGAATGAGCTAAGACTGGTAGAAAAACCTAAAAAATGACCCCCCAAAATTATTTTTAAAAAGCTATATTGAGGAAAAGGATGATTAAAGACAAGATAGGACTGCTGCTCAAAGCAGATGGGCCAATCATAACTGACAAGACAAGGGAGAGAAAGAAAGGCTGCCCAACTCTTACTTTGTTTCTGCTTTGTCTGCCAAGGACACTGATCTTTGGATTGGAAAGGACTGAACAAAAATGGCTAACAGGATATTTAGATCCAAGATTAGCAGGGAAAGAGTAAGAGAGTACCTACCTGCCCTTCAAGTCACCAGGCCCAGATAAACTATATCACAGAGAACTGGTCTGAAAGATCAAGATGAATGGGAAAAATGCAACAAGACTGGAAGAAGACAGGGAAGATTATGAAGTTGGCAAACTGTAGGCCAATAAGCATAACTTCAATTTCTGTCAAAATTCTGGAACATAATATTGAAGAGGTGGTTAAGAGATGTACAGAAAAGGAAGCAGTAATCACAAAGAGTCAGGATGACTTCATGAAGAACAGGCCATGCCTGATTAACCTCACTTTTTTTCTTTTTTTTTTTTGGACAGATTTACTAGATTGATATATCAGGGGAATACCACAGATTTAGTTTACCAAGATTTTAGCCGAGCATTTAACAAACCTCTCATGCTATTCTTGTGAAAAAGGAGAGCTACATGATAAGGAATTTGGTATTGGATGAATGGCTGGACTGAAAGAGTGGTCATTAATGTTCTATGTCATTATTTGAAGGAGGTCTTTAATAGAATGCCCCAGAGAAGTTATTGGCTTTATGCTGTTCAACATTTTTATCAACGACTTGATAAAGGTGAAAGATGGCATGTTTATCGAATTTGCAGACAAAGCAAAACTCAGAGGGACAGTTAACAGATTGGATTACAATCAAGATTCAAAAAGATCTCACAAGTTCAAAACACTGGGATCAATTGAGTAAGATGAATTTTTACAGGGATAAATGTAAAGTCTTATACTTGGGTTTAAAAAAAATCAAGTTAGGGAAAAAAAGTCAAGATAGGGAAGGTATAGCTAGATAGTTCATTTGAAAAAGTTTTGTCAGTCTGAGTGGACTTTAAACTCAATATGAGTCAATATTGCGATAAGATAGCCAAAAAAGCAATCAGGCTACACTGAGAGGCATAGTGTTTGGGACACTAGGGAAATGAAAATTTAGCTTTCATCTGCCATAGTCAGATCATACCTGGAACACTGAGTGGTTCTAGGAGTCACAGTTGTGAAGGATATTGATAAATTGGAGAAGTCAGAAGAGGGAGACCAGAAGGACCTCAAGATGATGTCATATGACAACCAGGTGAAGGAATTGGGTATGCTTCTGCTTGGAGAAGATAAAACCTGGGTGGACAAAGTGCCCGTCTTCAATATATGAAGGCTGTGATGTGGAAGAAGTCCTGCTAGGCTAGGGGGTGGGGCAGGGGAGAACTAGGAACAATGGGTGGAAGCTGCGAAAAGGCTGATTTCAGCCTAATGTAAGAAAAATTTCCCCACAATCAGAATTGTCCAAAAGTAGAATGGGCCGCCCTAGGTGACAGTGGGTTCTTCTCCATCAGAGATCTTCAAGCAAAGGCTGGCTGGCCACTTGTTAGGAATATTGAACAGCATACTCTTGTTCAGTATGGGTTGCACCAGAAAGCCTCTAAGGCTCCTTCCAATAACAGGTACTGTGAGGAAGTATTCCCTCTTTCTGGAGAGGGAAGGGTGGCCAAAGGGACCCTTTCATGGTATGGTCTAGGTCAACTTCTTTACTCTCCCTCCTGCATCTTCTCTGATCATTTGAAAACCTCTCTAGCCTGGAAGATCTGTGGATGAAAAGCTATATATAACACTAGTCAGAGTCTCCTAATACCTAGGGGCTTCTTCCTGGAAAGAATCTTTCCTATTCTTTTCCACAGATTCCATTTATCACCACTGCATTCTCATCTGGGACTGCAGAACCAAGGGAAGGAGAAAGTCTGAAGGGTCAGGTGAATAATGACTTTAATGTGGTCTATGTCTGTAAAGCAGATAGGCAGCAGACCTTGGACAAGCAGAGCTGCTACCAAGTGACCTTCTTTAACTTGCACCCTCAGAGTAACCTTCTAGTGGTGACGTGTGACTGAGAGCAACAACAACTGAGAGGGGAAAGAACCTTGTACTGCCCATACTAATATGACCATTGATTATGCCCAGAGTAACATGACCTTCCCAGTACCATTCAGATATTATCATGACAAGCAGATATGAGGCTTCCAACAAAAAGTCAAAACATTTCAACAGATAAAGTAGATTTAAAAAGGAATCCCTCCTGCACAATTGGAAATAACTTGGTCTAACGTGACTTTCTTTTGAGGGATAAATAAGTAGAGTTGGCCAAGTTTTTTGTTCTCTACCCCACCACGGTTCGGTACTCACATTCCATGGTTTCTCTAGTAGGTGTCTAGGGTACTAGGAAAAACCCAAGGATTTCTCTCTCTAAATACAGGGAAATAAATCCTATGCAAGTTTTCCCATCAAGGAAGAACAAGTAAGACACACTTAGACACCCAGGTTCAAGTGGGAGTTGGGAATAACAATTTGCTAACATCCAGCTCTACGTTATTACTCCTGATCTAAGATAAATTAGTCAAGGTGCTGTTCCTGAAACCCAAGAGTTCTGCACTGTTTGAAGAGGGCAGGGACATAGCTTAGAGGCAGAGGAGTGGCAAGAAGTGACACACAAAGGAGGGATACCACCTGTATGTTTGAGGAACACACAGAACAAGATGTCAATTAACAGATTATGCCAAAGGAGCTTCCTAATGGAGCACACAAGATGGAGCAAAGCTTGCTACATCAGATCCTTTCCAAACTAAGTCATTTCTGCTTTTGTCCTGCACAGTCACTATGAGATGGAGGCACGGGCCAGTCTCTGACCAGATAACAGAACCACTGAGAGTTGGCACTAGCTGCTTGTTCTTGGCTGGCACCAACTTGAAGAGAACAGTATTGCCAATGGCTCTAGGAGTCTTGGCTAAAGTAACTGTAGTCTCCTGAAGACACTGTTTCTTCTCGAACATATTGCTGCTTTGGAAAGCGTCCTAGGGTCGGCACAGCTCCTGGTATACTGTGGGAGAGTTGGGGAGAGGGAGGAGTAGAGGAAGGAAAGAGAAAGGGAAAGGAGACAGGTGTGTCAGAATCTCTGAAAAAGCCTGGACTCCCAACCTCCCTAAATTGGTCAGTATCAGAGTTACTTCCCTGGAATGTGGTCAGGTCAGGATACTATGAGGTGTAGTGGCAAAGATGCTGATTTTGAGTCACAAAGCTAGGGTTTGAATCCTAGCTTTGTTACTTATTATCAGTGTGACCCCTCTCTGGACCTTAATTTCTCCATCTGCAAAATAAGAGGTTGGACTGAGTGATCTCTAAGGATCTTTTCTGTTCTCAATCCTATGATCCTGCTCACAAGTTTGATTTCTAGCAAGTTACCTGGTAGTATATGTGAGGTATTGCTAACAATACCGAGCAGAATGTCACTGAGCAGAATGTCACAGACCAAATAAGTCTTGGGAGAACTTAACCCCTGCAACCAACTGGACATATAAAAACCAACTGAGCAAAATCAAGGAGGAAGACCTACTACATCTTCTATGAAATGTGTTCATCAAACACGAAGAAGTTTACCTCCTGACAGAGGGGTGGCGGGAAGGAGAGAAAACAGATTTTTTTGTTAATTGAAAAAAATTAAATAATTTACAAGTGATTCTGAGGATCAGCATGTCAAACTAGTCACAGGGATTGAAGGAGAAGATCAAGGCACAGAAATTACCCTCAGCCAGTCAGCCCTTTCTGGGACTTAAAATAGAAAAGAACTGAATGATGACCAGCCACAGGGACCAAGGCCACTCACTGCCTTACAGTATATGGTTAAGACTAGTAGGATTATCACATCCTGGAAACTCTCTGGTGAAATAGGAACAGTCATTTTTCTTCCATGTACAATTAACCAACATCCTTCTGGTCTTAAGCTCACAGGTTTAAAGATGGAAGGGACCTTAGATATTACCTAGTTCAACCCTTTCATTTTGCAGATGGGGAAATGAGGGCTCTGAAAAATTACTTGCACAATATCACACAGGTAATAAATAGCAGAACCAGGATTCGAATCTAGATCCTTGAAATTCAGGGCTCTTTCCAAGGTGTTTATGGTCTTCAGCTATGGGCAAACCCTTCAGTAATTCTCCTCCAAGTTGCTGACCCATATGGGATGGTGCCCCTCCCCACTTTGGGAGGCACCTTGGTGAATTCTTTCCAAACTGTTACAGGGGGCTCCCAGATGCTACACCACAGTTCTTGAAAGAATGAGCCAAATGTCTGTTTAGGAGAAATGGAACTGAGCACTGGTAGAACATGCCAGTCCACGGCCCCTCCCAGTAGTCTACCAACCCGTGCCCATATGAAAAAGAAAGCTCACTTACTGGTTCCTGTGCTTGAAGCCACTGATGTGCGCCTGGTACTGCTCTATGGAATTCAGCATGATTTTGCAAGTGTTGCAGGGATAGCCCCATCCAGCTGAAACAGACAGTAATGTTAAAGCACATTATGATTCCATCACTTAGGGCCTGTGGCTGAAATGAGCAGGATAGTTCATAAATGGGTAAGAACCCATTAAATATTTTTGAGTAATAAGCACAACGGATGACATCCATGGTCCCTTTTAATTTTTAAATCCCCCTTTCCACCTCACTCTTATCCCCAAACACTTCAGTTCTGACTGATGGATATGGAGAGCAGGACCAAGCCAAATACTAACATTGTGGCAGTTTTACATCAGGGGTGTTAAGGACTTTAGAGAACATTTATTCTAATCTCTCTATTTGATAGATGGAGCAACTAAGCATCAGAGTTAAAGTGATCTAACTAATGTTACACAACTTATGATTTCAAGCAGGACTCAAACCCAGGTCTCTTTCTACTCAAAGGAAAACTTCTTTAAGAGTCAGCTTTAGGCTCTCACAATGTACCATTCTAAGTGTTCTAGCTGGTGAAACCCTTCAATCAAATTAATCTCTAAAAGGTGCTATTCTTCTTGGGCTTATAATAATAGTAATTAACAAAGATGATTTTTTTTAAAAAGATGATTATTTTGACAACCCAATCTATCTTCCCAAGGGCTTGGAGAGAGCCTGCTTTATAGCCAGGCTCGCTCCAGATTTAGAGTGGTCTTTCTTGGCATGGTATAACAGAAAGAGTTCTGGCTTAAGAAGCCAGAGACCAAAGGGGTCCAGGATTTGCCAATGACTTACAGTATAACCATAAACTAGTTCCTTTTATTGGCCTCAGTTAAATGAGGGGGTTGTATTAGAGGACAGCTAAAAGGTCCTTCCAGCTCTAACATTCTATATTGTAAAGTTCTTTCTAGCTCTGACACTGCATGTTCTATGTGCAGAGGATTCTTCTGGCTCTACTACTCTATACTCTAAGGTCTGTTCTAATTAAGGTTCTTTTAAGTTCTTATATTTCCTGTTGTAATATGTCTTCCTACTCTGACAGTCCATGTTCTAAGGTCCTTTAGACACTGCATAATTTTATGAATTGTTCAGCACTCCATCCTCATTATTTCACAACACTTTGTACAACACTGCCATCTCAAAGAGTTATGTGGCAGTGGCAGGTACTTTTTTTTTAGGCACTTATTGAAAGAACATTGGATTAGGAATCCATTTTAAGTCTAGATACATAGAAAATTAATGTCTTCCACTAAAATGTTTTGGCGGTTTTATACCTCCTTTGAGACAAAGTACACTATATATCTACCAAGAGGTAAACTGCTACCCTCAGATGCCAAATTCTCTTAGTCCAAGGCCAGTAGAGACACATCATTTTCCTGAAGGATCAGGTATCATCAACAGCATAACTTGGAACTACCAGCATCTCCAGAAGATTATGGGAGGGGAGATTTCACCCCTCCCTATAGAAGTTGGTTTTATTTTGTACCCTAGCTGTGTACATGCTGCATGAGACATTAAAAAAAGAAGCCAGTTTTCTTTGAGAGCCTGTACTTAGAAGTGCTGTATCTGGTCTACCGAAGACTTGACTATCCAGTGCTTTGGAGGCCAAGCTTCTGTCAAGGGTCCCTCCCAATAAAAGTAGTTGGCAAATGATGCTACGATCAAGGCCATTGTTGATACAGACTGCCCAGCCTTCAGACACAACAGTGCAAGAGCGGAAGCCTCTCCAAAGGCCAAACACAGGCCTATGGGACCTTAGACAAGACACCCAACTTTCCCAACCATGTATCTGATTACCATCGAAACAGATATAATCCTAGCTAGCCCTAGGGATTCAATTCCTATTAAATCTAGATAGTCTCTGAAGTTGAACATGCTTCCAAATTGTGGTTCACTTACTATGTGTGGGACGTCAGGGCTTAGACTGCTTCAGGTCTCAGTGGATTGGACTAGACAGCCTTTAAGATCCACTGAGCCCTACATCTGTGATTCTATTCTGCATGTTAAAGACAGAAGATTCCAAATCCAAATAGTCCCTATTTTCACTTATTTGGAAGGGGTGAGGTCATAGGAGATTGATTGGTCAGGGACCAGGGAGTGGTAGGATGGACCTGGAAGGAAAGTTCCTGGATCCTCAGGATGCACTGTGGCACCATTGTGAGTGAACTGCAGTTGTGAAGCCCACTTCCTCTTCATCCACAAACTCTAGCTGTCAATAGCCAGAGTAGTAGAGAGCCTGCTCCTCAATGTAACCAAGCTTCAGGGGAAAGGCAGTGTCATATAGTATCAAGAATAGTGAATTAGGAGTCATAAGACCAAGGTTCAAGTCTTGGTCCTAGCACTCATTGCCTTGGGCTCATCCTTCCTCTCTCAGATACTGTTTCCTTATTTTGAAATGGGTCCTGCCCTGCCTCCCTCACAGGCCTGCTATATGGATCAGATACATTAAAAAGGCTTTGCAAACTAAAGAGTGCTATATATACATATGCTATACAGTTGTATAGTATTGCTTACTATTATTTATGTGGAGGACTTATATGATGATCTTAAAAGAATTAAACTTTGAGTAACCCAAAGGGCATAGTAAAGGAGACTGCCTTATGTCACCAACAATGACTTACATATGAGAGATGGTGCAAAGGACACCACACACGACTGGAAAAGGAGGTGGGTATTCATGTGCTAAAAGAGAAGAATATAAGAGATGGACAACATGGATCCTGAAGCGGTAACTAAACAATATTAAAAGAACCAGAGGAAAGCCCTACAACATGTTGGATAGATATTTTATGGAGATTTATGGAAATAAGTTTTTAAAAAGATGAGAAGACACAGATGAGTTGAGATCTGCACTGTCAGAGGTAACACTCATGCCAATGATATTAAAGAGCTATTTAAGTACCTAAACACAAAGTAATTCAAATGGTATTAGTAGGAAAGTCAAGGAAAATTGTTGAAGATTTCCTGAAAACTATTTGATACAGACCCTTGATCTCATATAACTTTGTTGAGGACCACAAGCTGAGAAAGAAAGAAAGCCAAGATGAAGCTGGAAGAATGCTGGCATCTACAGGGAGGTAGACAAACATATAATAAAATGGCCAGCAGACTCAGGAGGAATATCTATCAGGTGGTTCCTGGACATTTCTTCCTTCTTTTTTTTGCAAGGCAAGATTTTAGGATCTTGAAGAGTTAGTTGAAGATTTGCTGGAGTTTTGAAAATAGGCATGCCTCCTTTAGGAAAAAGGCTCTCTTCCAGCTATAAGATGATGGTTGCTCAGTGGTCTGGTGTTAAATAAGAATACAAATGACTGGAGAAAGTATATTCATTATTCAACCAAAATTGCTGGCAAAACTGGACAGCTTAGAAAAAAATGGGTTTAGACAAGCATCTAACAAATACTATAGCATATATTAAAAATTCCAAATGAATAAGTAATCTAAATATAAATTCATACCATAAACAAATTAGAAGAGAATGGAAGGTTATATGTTCCACAAATGTGGAGAAAGGAAAAATTATTAACTAGCCATGACATAGATGAAATTATACAAAAAAAATAAGATTAATTCTATCACATAAAAATAAAAGCACAAATAAAAGTAATGCAACTAGAACAAAAAGAAGAGATATAAACTGGGAAAAATATTTGCATTAAACATGTGGAGAGGCATGGTTACAGTAGACAAGGTACTAGATTTGGAGTAAGAAAAACCAAGTTCAAATCCTACCTGTGTGATTTTGGGACTTAACCTTTCTTAGCCTCAGTTTTCTCATTTGAAAACTTAGTGCTGGACTAAGTGGTCCTTAAGGTTCCTTCCAGATCTAAGCCTTTAATCCTATGATTTAATAAAAGCCATCCAACTAAAATCTACAGGGAACTGACACAAATCTAAAAGATCAAGAGCTATTCCCTAATAATTAAAGGATATGAACAATCAATTTTTTGCTAGAAGAAACAAACTCAATCAATATATTAAAATGTTTGAAATTACTAATAACAATAGGAAAGCAAAGTAAAACAACTCTGAGATATCATCTTACACCCAAACTGGCAAAGATGAAAAAATAAAAATTCTAAGTTAGTAGGGCTTTTGGAAAAAAGGAGACTAATCACTGCTGATGAAGTTGTGAACTGGTTTGACTGTTTTGGAGAACAATGTGGAATTGTCTAAGAAAAGACAGGAAATTTTTCATACTGTTAACCTACTAGAAATTTACTAACAGGAAGAGACCTATCTATATAAAACTTCCATGCATCACTATCCGTAAATGGCAAAAAGTTACAAACAAATATGTGGCCAGAAAATCAAGAATGGCTAAATAGATTGCAGCATATGAATGTTATGGAATACTACTGTACCATCAAGAATAATACTAAGAATTTTAAGAAATATGCAAAGACTTATATGATACAGAAAAAAGTTTCAAAAACATAGTAACTACAACTATACAAAAAAGAAGGTAACATTAAATAGAAACAAAATTCAAGTTAAATACAATGGAATACATTGGTGCTACCTTGTTAAGTTACAGCTACAGCTTTCTTTTCAACAAATAGTACTACAAAAGTTTTGTAGTATGTTTACAAAACTGTAAGCTGAAATGCACCATCAGTCACAGTCACTGAGGCTGTTTTACTTAATAGATCTCAGAGAGCATACTTTGTTTTTGGATAGTTTGTGAGTTTCTACTTGCCTACTGTATTAAATAAAAATTTATTAATAAGGAAGTGAAAATGTTAAATTTGTAAAAACTTATAATTCCTAGGGGAAAAAAAGCTAATTTGCTTATGCTAGCAATTCTGTGTTCAGGAAGATCGGTCTTGAAGGGGGAGGACCAAAAAGAAAGTATGAAGCCTAAAGCTGTTTCATGTCCCCGCCCCCCTCACCCCCCCCAATACCTGGTCCTTCTCTGGACCCACCACCAGTTGTGCTCAGGAAGGCCCCTTGTTTTGTGATTAGAACTTGAGCATGGAACCTTGTTTTGGCATCAGCTCACTCAGCAGCAGTGTAGTGGAAAGGGCACTGGAATGGGAGTTAGAAGAACCAGATTCATATCTTGGCCTTCCTCCTGAGTCTCATTTTCTCTCTCCCTCTAAAATGAAAACTTATTGCTCTCTCCCAACTCTAAATCCTATCATTTGACATTTCCCACATGTCTAAGAACAATTGCTTTTCCACTAGGAAGGGAAGGGTGGGGAGAGAAGGCTTTCTAGGTGCGAATGTCCTCATGCAGAATGAAAATGAACACTTACCACAGTCTTCAATAGTCTAATGGGTCTTTCATCTGCCTATGGTTCTCACTACTACTAGCAGAGAAGGTAGAGATGAAGGGATCTGATCTTGATCAGATAAAATAAGGACAATATCAGATGTATTTTACTCCCTTTCTGAAATCTCTAGACTACTGCCTCAGGACCACAGCAAAGGAAGGAGATGGAAGAAGTCCTCAAAATAGTCTCATCACCAGTGAGTCACCAGGTATTGGGGAAGAATTGGGAGGAAGGGTTGCTTTTGACAGAGGTGGGGAGGAATATTGGGTCAACCTGGAGGATCTTGAGCATAAACAATGAGAAAAATGTGAGGCTTATAATGTAACTACCAGATCTCATCCAATCCACCTGGTAGGTCTTCCTTGACCTCCTGCACCATGGATTCTGAAAAGTTCAGGCTCTGTTATGTTCCAGGTGGCCACAGAAGAGCTGCGATACAGAAAGTTCTAAGTCAGAAGAGGCAACTCTCAGCACCTCTACTTGCATAAATGTCTTTCTGTCCCCAACCTGAACTATGACCAGCAGGCCAGAAAAAGCAGCCTGTTAACAGGTTCAGTTCCTTCATCTAGGTGACTCAGCTGGTGGATGAAGTGGTTTAAGTAGACTGCCTAGTGTAGCATAAGAATCTGGGCACCCTTAAGGCAATTTCCAAGAAGGAACAGTAACAGAGTAGGGAAGTCAGTGAAGAGGTACACACACCACCTCGGGACAAGTGGAGTGAGTGTGGATGCTAAGTGGTCGGCTAAAGTTGATCCTTGAGGCTTCTAGCTAGGTTTTGGAGAGCAAACACTATGTTTTATTGAAACAGAAGAATAACCCTTGGAATTTCTGAACATCATTTGCTAAAGGTATCATATAAGGGATCTCTACTCAGGCATAAGGGGGAATAAACATTTTCTGAGGGTCCTTGAAGTTCCAGGGCTTCAGGATTCTCCCCTGAATATGCTTTAGCTTGTCAACATCCTTCTTAAAGAAAACTGGCTCCCAGGAAAAATCAGGATAGGATCCCAGTAAAGATTTAGAACTGGAAAGAACCTTAGAAATCAACTGTTCTAAGACTGCTCATTTTACAGTCAAGGAAACTGAAGCCAAGATAGGTTAAGTAACTTGCCCAATAACTCACAGGGAGGAGTAACAGAGCTGGAATTCAAATCCAAGTCCTATGACTACAAATTAAATGATATTTCCATTACTCTACAATACTGTCCCTTTGCCTGGCCGGGATCCCAAAATAAGATGTCTTCACCTTCTGAAACTGTAATGGGTGAGTCATTGTTCTTGCCATAATGAGCCATCAGCTTGACTTTGGTCTCTTGTTTTCTGTGCTTCTTGCCATCATAGTGCTGCTTGGCCATGCAGGGATTGTTGAAAGTGGCATGGCAGAGCTTGCAGAATTTGTCTGGATCAGATGTGTTACCACTGCCTTCACTCTGACCAGGGGTTGTAGCATCCGTGTGGACTTTTGGTGGACCTATGCACAAGGAGAACACAAAGAAAGACAATGAAAAGTCTCAGGGGTGAGTATGTTTTACATTAACTTAGACAAAAGGAAATGGTGGAACAACTAATTTGGGAATGCCTCTGCAAAAAGTGTTTCCTTTTGCTATAGCAAAAGAGCAAAAGAATGAAAAGGGTTGATGGGACTTGCCAAAGGAATAGGAAGTAATAATGATTAAACCTCTCATTTTGGATTAGAGTTTACTAAGTCAGACATAAACTGAGCTTGGTTCTCTAATATTCTGAAAAAAATCTTTGATTTCACACCTTTACTTATCATTATTCAAATTTCATCTCTTAACTGTGGATATCTATGAAGGCTCTGTCCTGGGTCTTCCCTCTATTCCTCATTTGGTGATCTCATCAGCTCCTACTGATTAAATTACCTCCACACAGATGAATCTTAGATAGAAGATTCAAATCCTTAGATCTAAGGTCTAGTCCTAATCCTCTCCTAAGCTCCAGAATTGTATAACTAATTGTTTCAAAATGGATGTCCTATAAGTACCTCAAAAAACAACAGGTCTAAAACAGAACTCTTTAACTTTCACACCAAATGCAACCTCTTCCAAACCTCTCTTTTTCTGCAGAGGGGATCACCAGCCTTCTAGGTCACCAAGGTTCATGACCCTTGAGTCATCTTTGATTCTTAATTTCCCCTAATTGCATGCTCCTTATCTAAACATTTGCCAAGTCTTTGTCAATATTCTTCCATAGCATTTTTACCATACATCCCCTTCTCTCCACTCACATGGTAACAATCCTAGTTCCAGTCCTCATCACCTCATCACCGACCTAGACTATAGCAACAACTTTTTCATTGGTTTCTTTGCCTACATTCCCTCCCCTCTCTAATTCATACTCCAAATAGCTGCCAAAATGATATTCCTGGGCACGGAGCCAAGATGGCAGAGTGAAAGCAGTGATTTGCTTAAGCTCTCCCCCAAACCCCTCCAAATACCTGTAAAAAATGACTAAACAAATTCTAGAGCAGCAGAACCCCCCAAAAGACAGAATGAAACAAATTTCCAGCCCAAGACAACCTGGTTGGTTTATAGGAAAGGTCTGTTGCACTAAGTTGAGAGAGGAGCACAATTCAGCGTGGGCCACACAGTGAAGACAAGGACAGAGCAAACCCAGAGCAGGCCTCAGTGGACTGAATCACAGGCAGCTGTGCTGGTTTCCAGATTTCTCAACCCACAAATGCCAAAGACAACCTAGAAGGTCAGTGGGAAAGGTCTGTTGGACCTGGGTGAGAGAGGAGTGTGGTCCAGCCCTGGACCTAACACAGCCCTGGGGTAGCAGCCACAGGAGCAGCAGTTGCTTCCAGAGATCTCAGCCCACACATAGTATGGGGATACAGCGGCTGATCAGAGGGGGATTGCAGGGATCTCTTTTCTGGTGCTGAGGCAGGATTCTCTTGCTTTGCCATGCTTGGATCTGGGTGCCAGTCCTGGGGCGAGGAGAAGTGCTGGCATGGTGGAGCTTGTAGACGTGATAGAGAGGGAATCTTCCTCACAGTTCCAAAGCAGAAAAGAGTGCTTGTGGTCACTCATAGAGCAGAGCACAGGCCAGGAAAGGAATAAACACCTCTCCTTTGAACATACCACTTTGGAAAAACTGAAAATTTACAGGTCCCTAGAAGTAGCTTTGAAAACAGCTGCACAAAACCCCTGAAGCTTGGGATAGTACATTCTCCACACTGGAAGCAGAGCCCTACCTTAGCAAAGAGTTAAAAAGTCAAGTAATTGGCTGGGAACATGAACAAACAGCTCAAAAAAAGTCAGACTATAGAATCTTACTTTGGTGACAAAGAAGATCAAAACATACAACCAGAAGAAGACAAGAAAATCAAAGCTCCTACATCCAAAACCTCCAAGAAAAATATGAATTGGTCCCAGGCCATGGAAGAGCTCAAAAAGGATTTTGAAAACCAAGCAAGATAAGTAAAGGAAAAACTGGGAAGAGAAATGAGAGTGATGCAAGAAAATCATGAAAAATGATTCAACAGCTTGCTAAAGGAGACCCCCAAAAAATGGAAGAAAATAACATCCAAATGGCAAAAGAGGTCCAAAAAGCCAATGAGGAGAAGAATGCCTTAAAAAGCAGAAATGGTCAAATGGAAAAAGAAGTCCAAAAGCTCACTGAAGAAAATAATTACTTTAAAATTAGAAAGGAGGGGCAGCTAGGTAGTACAGTGGATAGAGCACTGGCCCTGGAGTCAGGAGGATCTGAGTTGAAATCCAGCCTCAGACACATAACACTCACTACTACCTGTGTGACTCTGGCAAGTCACTTAACCCCAACTGCCTCACCAAAAAAAAAAAAAAAAATTTAGAATGGAGCAAATGGAAGCTAATGACTCTATGAGAAATCAAGAAATCATAAAACAAAACCAAAAGAATGAAAAAATGGAAGACAATGTGAAATATTTCACTGGAAAAACAACTGAACTGGAAAGTGGATCCAGGAGAGAGAATTTAAAAATTATTGGACTACCTGAAAACCATGATCAAAAAAAGAGCCTAGACATCATCTTCCAAAAAACTTATTAAGGAAAAACTGCTCTGATATTCTAGAACCAGAGGGTAAATGGAAATTGGAAGAATCCAACGATCACCTCCTGAAAGAGATCCCCAAAGGAAAACTCCTAGGCATACTATAGCTAAATTCTAGAGTTCCCAGATCAAGGAGAAAATATTGCAAGCAGTCAGAAAGAAACAATCCAAGTATTGTGGAAACACAATCAGGATAACATAAGATTTAGCAGCTTCTACATTAAGGGACTGAGGCTTGGAATATGATATTCTGGAGGTCAAAGGACTTAGGATTAAAATCAAGAATCACCTACCTAGCAAAATTGAGTATAATCCTTCAGGGGAAAAAATGGACATTTAATGAAAGAAAGGACTTTCCAGCATTCTTGATGAAAAGACCAGAGCTGAATAGAAAATTTGACTTTCAAATACAAGACTCAAGAGAAGCACAAAAAGGTAAACAGGAAAGAGAAATCATAAGGGACTTATTAAAGTTGAATTGTCTATATTCCTACACGGAAAGATGATATTTGTAACTCATGAGACCTTTCTCAGTATTAGGGTAGTTGGAGGGAATATATATATATATATATATACAGAGAGAGAGAGAGAGAGAGAGAGAGAGAGAGAGAG